TCATCTGATATCACAATAGCCAGCGGCAGCATCCTTGGTCCAACACTTTTTCTCACGGACATCGTCGCCTGCATGGTAATTTCCAACGTACTCGTTATTGTCGTCGCTGTCATCACGCCATATTGCCATTGGCGACGCCATCGGCATGCACGGTCCCCTCAATCGCTGCAGCACTGGCAATGTCACGACGTGTATTGGGCTACAGACCCACAACAAAGGGCAAAGGGCCACAATAGCCCTTAATCACGAGTTGGCGATCGAAACCTGGCGTTTTGTGAAGCAGCGTTAAACTTAGACTATACCGGTCGCTGAAGGCAGTGTTGGCTGGAAGTTAACTCACAACATTCCGAGGTCCGATTGCAGGTTTCCGATGGAGCTTGGGAGCCGGTTCTAGGAAGTGTAGAGATAAAGCTGCCGCGTCTCAGGAATCGGTGGACAGCCCTCCACATCGCTGCGACTGAAGGGCACACGGCTGTGGTGCAGGCCAGTGGCGAGTTTAGCATCTCAAGACCATTGTTGCATGGTATCCATTTTGGAGTTTTTACCCAAAGTCCTTGCAGAAGCCACGTTATATTAGCCTCGTACACAAGCCGCGTCCGGAGTTGCCTTCTTCCGAAATAAGCTCGATCCGCCCAAATCTGTGACGCATCTTGAGCTCGAGCACTCATTGTTGTGCTTCCTGCTGCCGAATCCATCCATAATCCTATTGCCGTAGCAATGGTGGGCTTTAAGCAGCAGGGGTAGCGCGAAAATTGCCGAATTGCCACCCTGGGTTTTACATGAACCAGCTTTTGCTGCAGATGCCAAATTAATATAGTGGGCACAAAGCATGCCCTTTTGCAGCCAGATCTAGTCGCACACTATCCGTTTACACAGCCCTACTCGGAGCAGATCCACTGTAGGGAACTCGGATTGTTGGCAAGTCACATCAGCTTCAACTGTACTACCACTCCCAGAAAACTTGGAGGCATTGGTGGTCCTTCGCTGCAGCCCCGATGTTGGCACTGCACAGGGCCACACGGCATTGGCCATTGCCGTCGCCAGAGGCAACGATTTTTTTCCGGCTGGGGGGGCTCAAACACGACCTGGCATTTTGGAAAGCTGGAGTTTGCGCGGCTGCGCAGAATACGTGCTCGCTTCTTTATTGCGGCTTTGTTTGCGGTTTCTTGCTGCCGATGGATGGCTTTGTACGCACCCTGAAACGCTTTCTGGCATGAAGCTGGCTAAACTCTCAGGCCTCAGTATGCTTTCGCTGCCCTGGCTCGCCTGAAGATCCATCCCCGGCAATGTAACCCTGCACGGATGGAGAAGCATAGGCCGAAGCTGAAAGCTCACAGGGCATCGCGACATCGTCCGCACTTTGCTGGACGGGCAAGCACGGCCCTGTGTAAGCGACACGAAGAAGACGATGCTTGTCTGTGGTTGTGTTGCAGCGTAGACACATGATGCTTGCATCTTTCACGGGCTCAGGACACGCGGTCATCAATTTGCGCTGGAAGCTTTTTGTACTTGTTGCGTTAACGTAAAAGCATGTGCAGGGGTGCCCCTTGAGCGCCACTGGAAGTCGGACTCCGTGAAAATGCCTGCAAATATTCATGCTGGCCTCAATGCCAGAAACCGAAACACTTCCACGAGGGGCCATGCAAGCCGAACGACTAAGACAACATTTCGACACGACGGGTCCTTAGCAATCCTGAGTCCAAAGCCCCTTACCTTAACAAGCTTGGGCTGAAACAGAGGGTTTAGGAGGAATCCGTCAAGCCCCTCTGGTGCGTGTGGTTTGGGGAGACCTGGTGCACCTGCTAGACCAAAGCAGACGTCTCGTGGCCTCCCTTTGACCAAGGACGCCGCTTCATCTCGCTGCAGATCCTTTCCTTTGATAATTTGGAATCTGCAGACTGTGGCCAGTCGAATGGCTTTCAACTGCTAGGAGCATCTTCAACATGAATGACAGTATGCGGTGCGCTCATTCTTTTGGAGTTACAGCCTGAAATAAGCATGTGCCTGCCTGCCTGTATTACGGCCATCTACCTACCGACGCACATACATACCTACATGCTTACCTACCTCTTACCTACCTACCTACCTACCTACCTATCTACCTACCCACCTACCTACCTACCTACCTACCTACCTACCCACCAACCTACCTACCTACCTACCTACCTACCTACCTACCCACCAACCTACCAACCAACCTACCGACCTACCTTCAGACCGACCTACCTACCTACGCACCCACCCACTCACCCACCCACCCACCCACCTACCTACCTACCCACCTACATAACTAACTATAATTACTTACATACCTACATGCCTGCCCGCCTGCCTACCTACTTACATGCCCACATACACACATGACATATGGACATGCATGCATGGTTGCGTGCGTGCATGCGTACATGTTCACATTTCTTTGCATACAAAACAAGCATATACATTCAAGTACAACTCATAGTACACACAGTAGCTGTGTCATGCGGCCTGATTCCTCGGCATGCACCGACCATGTAAGGTTCGCGGCGATGCGGTCTCTGCCTCGCTGTTGATCTCGGCTCGTGCGCAGTTTTTCGGCTCTGCTTTGTTGGGTTTGGGATTCAAGGGTGCTGGTTTCTAGGGGCTTCGGCTTGAGAAACAGGGAGGGAGAGAGAGAGAGAGAGGTTTTGAAGCAAACAGGAATAGGACAAAGTACAGTCGCTACTACAAGCATCATTCAGATCGATCTCCTGGCCCTTTCCGACTCTGAGTTTGTTTTGGTTGTACCGTAGCTATGCACTGTAGATTTTAGCCTGCCTCCAACTGTACTGTTGTTGCCGTTTAAGCCTTCTCTACGCAATCGACCTGGGCTCAAGTCCACAAAGAAAAAAAAAAGGCTTTGCAGGGTTGACTTAACGGAGTGTTGCTGCTGGTAGCTGTCCTACCTGAAACTTCAGGTTATCAGCTGTCACATCAGCGGTAGGTAGCTCTGAGGGCGTTGGTACTGGAGAACCAACAGATTAATGTTTTCATTAATGACCTGGGCTCCGGCGCTCGCATACAACGGTATGCACCACCCGGTTGCCCAGAACACTTCCACGTGTGGTACCCACCAAACACGGGAGATACATTTATTCGAATCCTTTTCGCCCACCGATGGAGACGGGTTACAGCAGTGCTTGGATTGGGAATAGAGGCGGCATGACGCCTGGAAAGTTTCCTTGGAGCCTAAAGCAGGAAATGAGGCTTCGAAGGGGCGGCCGAAATGGATAATTTCTACATACGGCCTTGGTGTTTGGTGCTTGGGTACATGGTGGGCTATTTGGGATCACAAAATGAACCCTGAACCACACCAGGCTTTGCAAATACTTGAACGAATTCATCAGCCATTCGTCCCCAAAAAGGTTTACTTGGACGTCGTTTGTCTTTAACTTCAATGGTAAAGCCCGTCTCCACGTCGATAAGTACAAGTTAAAGGATTCGTACGACATCACGTTCTCCTTTGGTGAGTACACACGGGGGGCATTGTGGATACAAGGCGCCAACAAGTTGGGGGACCACCGGCGGACGATGATGATGTTGACCACCAAGGTGTTTCGCACGGAGGCTATGATGGCTCAACTTACCGCAAAGTTACCATGCAGCCTCTGCAAACCAAGCACGCCGTACAACCCTATTTAGGCGAACGCCATCTTTTATCCCCTATTCTTCAGGGTTCGGCAAACTGGAAAAAGACAAGAAAGAATCGCCGAAAAAACTGATTTCGCTTACCCCCAACTCAGTTGACGCCTTCTCGGCAAGCATTGGTATGTGTTAAGCAGTGTGTTCATTCCCCTCTCGATGAAGGGGATAGTAAAAGCTTTCAACCGTGTTCTCGCCGTCTCACCCGACAAATCGGTCGTTTTCATGTACATCGCTCGAATGCACAAACACACACCACACGCCACAGGACACAAATTGCAGTTTAATACAACTGGCAATTGTTTTCTGTGAACGTGGCCGCACCGAGACAGCCAGCTCCTGCTCGAAACTGCCGAATCTGCATCCGCATCAAAATCTTGGAGCTATGGCCGACATCATTGTGACCGACGAGTATGTGAAGGTCAACACTCAAGAGGACAAGTGTCCTGGAGTTTTGTGAGGCGATGAAAATTGTGTTGGGTTCTGCAGCATTGAACTCCGATTAATTACTTCTCCTCGGAGTCGGTACCGAGCAACAGATGATGGAGGCTGCGCACAGCGGGGTCACAACCCAGTGTGGCGCGCAGATTGCCTTCACGAACTCTGATGTTAAGGTGTCTGCGCTTCTCCAAATGGCCAACCTCTCGGACGAGAGACCTCGTTGCTAAAGCCAACCTAGCTCACGGTTGAACCCTATAACTGCAAGAGAGTCCTCATCTGTGTGAGCGACAGCTAACGGCCCTGTGCAAGGTCAACCGGAAGGGGAAGGGGGAAGATGACGAAGGGAGACCTGACCACGGGGGTGGACACGAAAGCCAAGTCGCTGGGTTGGACGCATCCCCTTTACACTGTGTGTTGGGGCAAGATGCTGTCGTGGATTGTCTGGCAGGCCGAAAATCCTGCAAGATCCTGTGCCCCGGGATGCTTATTGCTGTGCTGGTTTGGTGGTGCGGCAATGAGATCTCTGGGCAGTGGGGGTGTACCGGCTGTACCGTATCCCTACGAGGATTTGGCCAGGGCATCCAGCAGCTCCTCCGAGCCACGAAGGCCGACAACAAGGGCCACATCAGGCTGCTGGGCATCGACGTCCCCATGAAGGAGACGATCGGTCAGTTGCTGCTCCCTGTTCGAATTCGAACCACCAAGGAGCACAACAAACGGCTGGTCGAAAACGAGGAGACCGATCTCTTCCTGGCCGCTCGCTTCTACAGCGATCTGGATAGAGATGACGCCCTTATCCGGTCAAGCCTACAAGAGTGGCATGAGATCTTATCAGCCTATCGAGATCGCGGTGTACACCTTCGCGGCCATAGCAGCTGGCTGCGAGTTCTTCGTCGCAGAATTCGGACGGAACTTTGACCCGAAACAGCATCCCCGCAGACTGCATTATCTCGGCCGTTGACACCTCCAAGACGGACCTTCCCCTCTATGTCGCCGAAACGGAAGCCACCATCACTGGTGAGCCTCTGCGCAGCTTCCGTGCCAAGCACGACTATGAAGAGGCGGCGAGCTCCTCCAGCAGACCAAACAGCGGTGAAGGCGAAGGCGATGCTCAAGTCTGCAAAGTTCAAGGCGAAGCCCAGTGCGGCGCCTGTGATGGCAGATGTCGCCATGGACGAAGATCCAGCCACCTGCAAGGGTGAGCCTTCCTCGGCCGTTGATGTGGCAGTGACACAGATGCCGGTGACGAGCAGTTCTTCCCATTTGGGCCATACCCCCGCACACTGTCGAGCGGTCGTGGCGACGGGTATGTTGTTTTGTTTGCGATGCAAAGCTCCAGGATGACTCGGTAAAGGTCACCAAAAGGTTCTTTGAGAAGTAGAAGCTTCGCAAGCGCCTGCTTGCAACGGCTGCGGCTGGCTCAAGCAAGCCAATATTGAAGGTCTCATCACCGCTAACTTCCGTCACCTCAACCAAGGCACGAAGAAGCGAGGGCAGATGAGCGCCGAGGCCACAGTCATCCGTGATGCTGAGGATATTGTGACAAGGGCGATGCAGCTACAGTATGCATCCGTGTCATGCCGCTGGTCGGAGGATGTTCAATTCCAATGGCGCATGCCCATGCTTCATTACATCGCTTGCGCATGCCTCCCAGATCCAGAGCGAACTGAAGAGCAGCGACACCTACGTGCTGGTTCCCACTATGCCGCCACACAGTCGGGTGTGCCTGCGGGCAAGCTGGTCTTCTATGCCCACTGTGAAGTGGAGCCCTGCGGACATTGCGTTTCATCGACGATGTTGGAAGCGTGCCAATCGGCTTCACTACATGGGCGCTTTCCTGCCTCCTCGTCTTTATGCTGATATCGTCCTGATTGTAGCTGATGCCCGCAAGGTTCTCACTTTTGAGGGTGAGGTGCCGGGCCACGGACGAGGAGATCGTTGAGGAGATTCGTCACATCCTTGATGACAGCATAAGACGTGCCGAGATGCAGGCGATTTGCTGAACCAAACCGTCAGGTTGCTGCGCGCAACAAGGGCACCCCAAAGGGGTCGCCCGATACCGTTGCACCGCTCTATCGAGGGTACCCTCAGGCTGTCAGGCCATGGGACGAGTGGAACCGCTCTGGTGGCCAGACTCATGGCCGGTATTCGCAAGCCGAGTGGGATCAGTGGAACCGCTCCCGTCGGTATTGATTACCGTGCTGCTCTTTTGGTTCTAGTTGCGTAACATGTTTTTGGGAATGCAGGGCTCTCTTCACGCTCATTCATAAAAGCTCGCTTTGGAATCGCATGATTTGTTCGAAAAGCCAGGGCAACCTGGAGCCTGAGTATGCTTATCCGCCTTAGCTTGAGCTGCACGGTGAAGGGTGTTTTTCCCTGCCTCCCACGGTACTTTTGTTGCCCTTTAACCTTTAACTCCTCTCTATGCAACCAACTTGGGCTCAAGTCCCCAGAGTAGCTGTCCTACCTGAGACTTCATGCACGGAAGACGACTTCGTTGCCTCTCCCATATTAGGTTGGAGGCTGCGGATGGTGGTGGTTACACTCCATTGCTCGTGGCCTGCGCGAAGGTGGGGCTTCAGATAGAGGCATGCAGCTGGATGCCCAGTATTGCCAGCCTTCCGTATAAGCAGCCTGGACGCTGAAATCACCCGCTTGGAATCTCGTGCCTTAGCAGACAGGGCAAGGTGGATTGTTTCGGTGCAGTCCCAGCAGACAATCGCGACTCAGTGCAAATCTGCATGCCTCGAATCGCCGTTCCGCTCTATTGTCTACAGTTCAAAAAGGTTCGGAAATGTCCGGCACAGGCTTCTGACTAGCTGTAGACAGCGAGGCCCACTGAAAGCAAGAAGCAGTTACAACAGGAGCAAAAGAAATATCGGAGACACCGTAACTCAGAAAAGATCTGAACCTTAAACCTTACAGCATAAACCCACTCAAACTTCGGCAGTGCTGGTTGACCAAGTCTGGACATTCGAAACCTTCGTGCTCAAGAGAAGCTCCTAAAACTTTATAGAAGCCGAAACAACCAGTAAACATCATTCGCGTATAGTCCTTATAACATGTTTTTTTCGTGTTAAGGCCCCGATATGATTTTCCAGGGGTCGGAATACGTATTTAACATCAGGATGCCCGGATTGTAGTCCCCTTATACTGTTATTTCGACACATAATCGTCACCTTACAGTCTCCTTATAACACAGTACCCTGAAAGCCTACTCTCCAGAGGAGAACCGCTGGCCGGTTGCGGAATTGCTGTTGAACTCCTCTGCGGAGCTTGGCGTTGCGACACACGGTCAGAAGTTGTCTCCCTTGTTTCTGGTCAGCGAGTGGCTTGGATGAGCTAATGAGCTTTGAGAGACGCGGTGCTTCAGTTTCGGGACTCAGGGTTGTAGCAGGTCACCACAGACCATCGAAGGAAGGTTTGGGTCATGTCTAGGGAGTCTAGCTCCTGTTCTAATCATGGGGTCACAGTGCGGCTCTCAGCTGGTTTTGGTGTCCTTCCGTCGGAGCTCGTTGGAGACATAACTAATACATGAGTGGGACCTTACGGTGCAAGAGGTCTTACACTGATGGCTGTGGAGTTCAATTCAAGCAGCAGTGGCTTATGCAGCGAGCCGCTCCATAAGCAATTGATTAGATTTATTTGTGAACAGTTTTCCGAAGGCTCTCGGCTAGCGTTAAAAAAAGCCGCCGTCTGCAACAACACCTGTGCGAATGTGTAGTTCAAGTTTTAGGGCTTAGGGGGGTTATGAGACCTTATAAATCCTAGATGCGGGTCCCTAAACCGGCCTAAACCCTATAGTGAAGCACAAGGTGGAACGAAGTGGCGGGCAGCAAAGCCGTTCAGAGCCCTGGCCGGCACCTTACCCTGAACCCCCACTCCTCCTACAGGGTCGAGAGTCGAAACTTAAAGCCCCAAACCAAAACAGGCGGGTGGGAAAAAAAAACAAAACAGGGTCTAGTGTCTTGGGCTTTTATAGGGCTGATATAGGACTAAAACAAGAGGCTTATAGGGCTGCTATAGGGCTTAAACAAAAGGTTTAGGGCGTATATAGGGCTTATATCTAAAACAAGAGGTTTAGGGTTTTAGGGCTTTCAGGTTAAAGTACTAAGAACCACGGGAAAGTCTCCGCAGGAAAGCTCTCCATGACCCCCAGACATTTCCTTGGCCTAGAGTTCTTGACCCAAGACTCCTCCTCCCAGAGGTCCTGTCTACTTTTCGTATCTTGGGTTTCCGAATATTTTTTAGAGGGCTCCCATAGAAATCGTCTATGAATGGTGAAACTTAGAACGTACATAGAATTTTGAGTGCCCCGGACATACCTCCACGGAGCTTCCAGAAGTTTCCGTTCTGCGCTGAAGACTCCCTAAACGGTTTAGGAAGTTTAGGCTTTAAGGTTCTATTGTGGTGAGTCAAGCAGGGTTTGGCATACTCGCGCACGGCCATCCTTCGACGAACTCTGCAGTGATTTTGTGGTTAGTCCGTAAAGCTCGTTGAAGTCGGCAGCAGCATGCAAGTTACATCAAGGATGCTCTTGGAGCGGAATGCAGATGCTTCAGCCGTGGATGCCAGCTGGCTGGCAGTTTCAGATTCCACAGCTGCCGGTTGTTTCTGATGTGGTGGAGCAGTGAAGGAAGCAGGTATGCAGAGTATGTCTGCTGGGTATTCCGGTACTTTGTGCGACCCACCGTTACCCATGCTTCGGGTTCAAAGATGCGTCAAGGGCGATGTGTTAATTGGGTTTTAACGGTTCCAAGGAGGAAAATGGCCCTAAAAACACACACCCTACCCCACCGAGAGCCCGAACCCAGCAAGCTCGACAAGAAGCCCTGTACCTGATAATCCTCAAAGCCCTTCACCCCCCGAACATACCGTGCGGCCTGGAGCGCACCACGACCTGAGCTTTCCGGGGCTTCGGGCGACGAGAGGTCTCAGTGGGCAGGAGTACGTGTACACCGCATGTAGGTTGAACGTTTGAGGGAGCACGGTCGCAGTTGAGCTAGTTTTGGGCTGCATGGTTCCAGGATTTCGGATGTAGTAAATATGTGTACGCAGTGGCCACAATTCTTCGGCCCGCTTGCGAAACAGGCTTTAAATCCACACATCATACAGGGTTAAGGGTTTATAGGGTCCTCAGTCGGAAGCCCGCCTGACACTCCAGCTAAACCCGTGAAGAAAAGCAGCTGTCATTGAACAAGTATTGTTATAGCAATTTCGAGTATACTAATAATACTCATATAAGAACTGACGAAGTGCAGTAGTAGTAGTAGAAGTAGTAG